GGTGATCCATTATCGCCTTATCTTTTTATCCTATGTGCAGAAGGTCTCACAGCGATGTTAAATGATGCTGTAACCAGAGGAAGTTTGCATAGTATCCAAATATGTAGGCAAGCACCGAAAATCTCTCACTTGTTTTTTGCTGATGATAGTTTTCTGTTCCTTCGAGCCAATGAGACTGAAGCTAGAAATTTAATGGTTATTCTGCGAGGCTATGAAGCTGCATCTGGCCAAGTGATCAACTTGCAAAAATCCTCCATTACTTTTAGCAATAACGTGCAACAGAGGACACGAAGCTGTATCTCCACAGTTTTGGGCATGATAGAAGTCGAGCTTCCGGGAAGGTATCTGGGTCTCCCTACTTACATAGGCAGATCAAGAACAACCGTTTTCTCTGGCCTGAAGAGCAGATTCTGGGCACACATAAGTGAGTGGCGAGAACAGCCACTATCTCGAGCTGGTCGAGAAGTTCTCATTAAATCCGTGTTACAATCTCTCCCAACTTACTTGATGAGTCTCTTCCTCTTACCGGCTTCGCTATGTACCGATCTGGAGCGTATTATGAATCGATATTGGTGGGGAGGAGGGGAGGACGAGCACAAGATCCACTGGATGGAATGGAAGAAGCTTGCCACCTCAAAGAGAGCAGGGGGCTTAGGCTTCCGAGCTATGCGTGATTTCAACCTAGCGATGCTAGGAAAGCAAGGTTGGCGGCTCTTAACATACCCGGACTCCTTAGCAGCAAGACTTATGAAGGCAAAATATTTTCCTCGTTCGGACGTGCTTCATGCAGAGCTAAAATCTCCCTGTAGTTTCACATGGCGCAGCATCTGGTACTCAGCAACTCTGTTAAAGCAAGGTTGTAGACGCCTGATTGGAGATGGTCGAAGTACAGAGATATGGGGTGACCCCTGGCTCCCTGGCAATCTGCAATTTTATGTTCAATCACCCCGGCCTCATGGGTGTGACCTTCGGTTTGTAAGTGAACTAATTGATGAAGAAACGAACTCGTGGCGTAGAGATTTGGTCCTTGCGACTTTCACTGCACATGAAGCTCAACTGATATTAACCATGCCTTTGAGCTGGATGAGGAGGGAAGATAGCTGGATGTGGCACTTTACCAAGCATGGAAATTACACTGTAAAATCTGGGTACTATAGAGCTCCTGGTATGGCAAGGTCCCAGGATGGGTCGTCCACATCCTCAACACTCTTTGGAGGCAACCGGATCTGGTCCCTGCATATCCCAGAAAAGGTGCGCTTGCTTGTTTGGAGTGCTTACCAAAATGTTATCCCTACAAAGGACAATCTCCATAAAAAACATGTTGATGTGGACTTGGAATGCCCGTTGTGTGGGGTGGAGAGGGAATCTGTTTTTCACTGTTTTGTCTCTTGCTCCCTAGCCCGTGCAGTATGGCTGGGTTGTCCTTTAAACCTGAGGGTCTCTGAACTTCCTGGGGATGACTTTGCAAATTTTTTTGATACCACAGCCAGCGTCTTAGGGGCAGAGCAGCTAGAACTTGTCTGTCTGCTGTGTTGGAATTTATGGACATGCCGGAATGCTGCTCTCTGGAATAATTCTCGCAGTAACCCGCAGCACATCATCCAGCGCACTATGCACTTGATGAAGGAATATAGGACAGCTATACTATCGAGGGGCAGAGGGGCAGCAGTAGTGCAGCAAGTTAGTGAAACCAGATGGCACCCTCCAGATTCCGGATTTATAAAGTTAAATGTAGATGGAGCAATATCTGTCCAGAACAGAGGTTTTGGTATGGGTGCACTGGCGCGTGACCATGCAGGGGCGGTACTTGCAGCTATGGCATGCAAAGGCCAGGGGGCAGTGGATGCTGAAGTGGCTGAAGCCTGCAGTCTTCGAAGGGCTCTTCAGTGGGCTCATTCCCTCTCTTTTAGAAGAATTGTAGTGGAATCTGATTGCGCAACCATTGTATCAGCAATCAGCAGTGAAACTCTCGAAATGAACTCCAGTTTGGGCCTCATTCTTCTCGACTGCAAAGCACTGTTGGCGTCCTTTGAATCTTGCCGAGTACAACATGTCCGCCGTGTGGGTAATGCTGCGGCTCACGAACTCGCACGGAGAGCACTCAGCGCTGAGGATGATGAGTTTTGGGTGGATGCTATACCAGCTACCATTATGTCTATTGTAACAAGAGATATGCACCATATCTGATCATGTATTTGCTTCCTGTTTTGAAGTTCTAAATAAAGCTTCCGTATGGCTTTTTAAATCAAAAAAAAAAAAGAGAAGAGATATCTTTTCCTAATACGGAAATGATATAGTTAAATAATATCAAATCCAAGAGTTAGAGTGATGAAATATAAATTGTACAATGAAGAGTAATTAGATTTATACTATTTTTGAATATTTTTTCATTCAAAAAACGAAAAATCATAATTGCTTGGTAGTCCTTATAGAATCAAGGCCATTCAATCATGTGGCCCTCACGTTGATCCCAGTTTAAAGGCCACATAGTAGACAGTCCTGATCCTGTTAGGACTACCAGACAATCCTAAGGATGGCAACGGGTCTTCACAGGGGCGGGGACCCCCTCCCCATCCCCATCCTCGTCAATGGTGGGTACGGGGACCCCGCGGGGAATTTTGACAGAGGGTCAAAAATTACCTCCGTCCCCATCCCCGCGGGTATTCGGAGTCCCCACCATTCACTGCTTGTTAATCAAAATTCCAAAAGAAAATAGTAATTTTACAGAATCCTATATAGCAAACAAAGATGATCAAGATCACTCTTTTAAAACAAGCTGGAGGTGAGCAGTGGTGAGTGAGGAGCGTTGCTGACTTGCAGTGATGGGTTGACAACACGATGCCACGGTGAGAGGCGGGATGAGATACCCAGCGGCAGCCTTGGAGCTCAGCTGGAGGTGAGCGGCGAGCGTTGCAGGGCAGCAGGGGCCAGGGGTTGTAGTGACGGCGAGGTTGAGAATTGAAGGGAATCACTGTGAAGGTCCGTGGAGATGAGGGCAGAGTTTGAGCAAGAGTGTGGCAGAGGACTAGAGGAGAGGAAACTTAGAGACTAGCTGGAGAGACAAACCGAGAGACGGCATGGTGAGTCGGTGAGAGGTTGAGAGCTGAAGGGAAGCACCAATTCATAGTGATCCGTGGAGATGAGGGCAGAGTTTGAGCAAGAGTGTGGCAGGGGACTAGAGGAGAGGAGACTCAGAGACTGACTAGAGAGGAGAGACCGATGCCGACTGAGAGAGGAATGAGGAATCCCAATTCCCAAATTCGCAATTTGCAATTGCAAGAAGCGGCAAGCAAAAGAGAGACTGAGTGAAATGTCCTCCTGCTAGGGTTATATGTAAATCGGGCCTGTAAATTGGACTGTAAATTGGGGCTGGGCAATTAGGTTTAGGATTATTAGATTCACAAAAAAAATTGGGTTGGACTGAGAATTGGGTTTGAAAAAATTGATAAAAGAATGGATTGTGAAATTTAAGTTATGTTGGTATCAGGTTAACTAATTAAATTGGATAAATAAAAATTAATTGCTAATATATGTACAAAAAATATATATAAACAAATTTATATATTTTTTATTTTATATGGATCCTCACGGTTCCCTACGGGGTGGAGAAAATTCTCCACGAAATTTCATGGGTAAAAAATTGCCTCCATCCCCCCCCACGGGTAAGAATATTATGAAAATCTCCATCCTCATAACGAGTATCTCCGTGAAGCTCCGCGGGTCGCGGAGAAAATTGCCATCCTTAGACAATCCTAACTTTCCACAACCCCTTTTCCATTACCCAAATAAAATTATTTGTCTAGAAATAGTTACGAAAGAGACATGGTATAAGGAAAGATTTACTATAAATTTTACTGT